CTGGGTTCAAGCAATTCTCCTGCCTCAGCCTCCCGAGTAGCTGGGATTATAGACGCCTGCCACCATGCCCAGCTAAATTTTTGTATTTTTTGTAGAGACAGGGTTTCACCCTGTAGGCCAAGCTGGTCTCAAACTCCTGACCGCAAGAGATCCACCTGACTCAGCCTCCCAAAATGCTGGGATTACAGGCATGAGTCACTGCCCCTGGCCAAATATTACTATTATTTAAAGAACAGAGAGAAATGTTTCTTCCTAAGATTTGTCAACACAGTGAATTTCCTACCAAAAATACAGACGAGGAGGAGTTACGCGGACCACACAGAGTAGTCAGGAGAAGGGGACGGGGAGAAACATTCGTGTGCCCGACTGCCAACCAGGAAGGCTACATGGACATGGACACAGGGCAAAGGCTGGCAGTACCCAGGCGCTCCCAAGGATGTCCCCACCCAGCAGGGACTCCATACCCACAGGCACCTGGCACACAGCCACAGCAGCTTCCTGCCATCTGGAGCTAAGAGTTCCATTCCGATCAGAATGAATGGCACATGTAACCCATCGATATAAGAAGCCCTGGGCAGGCAGCCATCAGCTGAACAAACCACAAGCCTGGAGACCAAGTCCACACGGGCCTAGGCCCTGCATCTCACGAGGGAGGGTCACAGGCTCCAGCCACAAGTCCCGTGGTATGGATACCAACGCACACGTGGACAGAGGTGGACAGAGACACTGACGCTGGGGGCTGTGCTGTGAAGGCTGAGAAGTGCCGTGGTCTCTGTTAGCGAGGAAGGGTGAAGCCATGAGTTGGCAGGGCACTGGCCCAGGGCCAGAGTCAGGGCTGCTGGCGATGAGTCTAGCTCCTTACCCATTCACTACAAACAGGTCCCCACCCGAGCCTCAGTTTCCCCATTTGGCAAAATGGAACGGAAGTCACGCCTAACGCAAGGCTCCAAGTGCTGTGGCTGGCAGAGCACACAGTCAACACCAGCACCCAGAAGTCCGTGTGTCCAGGCAACGGGAGCCGACCCAGTCTCCTCTGGGAGGGGCTGGAGGCTGCAAAAGGAGAAAAGGGTGCGAAAGGTGGCCAAGGAGGCCAATCCTGGGCCACAGCTTTGTGCAAATGTCCACACACATCAGAAAGCTGCAGGCTGTTGGGCCTCACATGGTGGCTCAGGCCTGTAATCCCAACACTCTGGGAGACCGAGGTAGGAGGATTGCTGGAGCCCCGGAGTTTGAGATCAGCCTAGGCAACACAGTCAAACTCTGTCTCTACCAAACAAACAAACAAACAGCCAGCAGTGGTGGCACCTGTAATCCCAGCTACTGGGAAAGTTGAGTTGAGGTGATAGGATCTCTTAACCCAGGAGTTCGAGGCTGCAGCGAGCTGTGATTGCGCCACTGCACTCCAGCCTGGGAGACAGAGTGAGCCCCTGTCTCAAAAAAGCAGGGGGAGGCTGCAGGGAGGTGGGGCACATGTTCACACCCACCGGGACCCAACCAGGCCTCCAGCTCCCAGCCAACCGAGGGATACCACAGACACCTGGGCTTGCCAGAGGGAGGGACACTCCCTTCCCTGGCGTGGGGAGCCTGTCAGGGACTGATGCTGGGACTGTAGGCCCCTTGTGAGCCTGTTTCCTGCCCACTCCGCTGAGTCTGCACAGGAGCCATCGTCCCAGGGTTGCCTGGCAACGCTCCCACGCTGCTGCCACAAGGGCTGTCATGAAGCCCGGAAAGGAGGAGTTCACGCACCGGCAGCCGCTCCTTTAGGTAATGGAGCTGGACGGGGGAGGCAGAGCTTTGTGGAGCGCGCCCACCCCCACGCCCCTGCCCACCCCGCGCTTCCACCCAGGCCTGGAATGCATCCGCGCAGCCAGCACCTCAGCACTGACGGAGGAGCCTCTGAGTGAGCTGTGATTTTTTCTCACCACACTGCAGAAACTCAGTGCTGACAGTGCTTTACTGGTGTGCAATAAAAACCAATGGTCTGGGGGAGGCGTGCATGATGGTAGCTGTAGCCTTCTCTCCCACTAGCCGGCTGGCAGACTGGAGTTTACAGTAGGCACCACGGGTAAAGCCCTTTGCATGCTGATTACAGAGCCCTCATGGCCACCCTGTGAGGAACTGCTTCCAGCCCCAGTCTGCAGAAGGGCAAACCGAGGCTCACAGAGCTGCAGAACTGGCCTAACGCTCTAGAGAGAGAAAGCAGCAGAACCAAAGTGGGCCCCCAGCCCCTCCACACATGTCCTCTCTGCTCCTGGGCAAGGCCAGTGCAGCCACCCTGGGCACCCCTGTGGCCTGTCCTTGCAGCTGTGCTCTTAACGATGCTAAGCCACGTCTGGCCCAGCATCTGAGCCCCTCAGGTTCTCTCTGGGAAAGTGTCTCCCTCCTACTCCAGGTGTCTGTGGCCTGGCTGCAGGACGAGAGGCCCCCGCCCCAAGTGGGGCCACAAAGAGAAGGCGCACGGCCTCCAAGCACCTCTGGACCCAGCCGGATGGCCACGCGCTGGCCTGCAGGGCACTCGCTGAGAACAGGGCCAGCTGAGGGAGGTGGGAGGCTAAGCCACAGAGATCCCCGTCCTGATGACACAGTCCCTGGAAGAAACCTCAGGCCACCCAGTCTTCTCTGAATCTACACCAGTAAGTCTCTAGTTTTCTTTTCTTAAACCCAAGAGTTTTTCTGTCACTTCCATCCACAAAAGTCCTGACAAAGATAGCACCTCGAAGGCCCCACAGCAGCAGCTGTCCCTGACGTGCGCCGATTCTCAGCATGGCCATCCACGGACGAGCCAGGGCTACAAGCACACGGGCGCTCATTCAGCTTCCTCAGCAAACCCTCACCAAAGGGCCCCTGGTGGGTCCAGTGCCAAGTACGGGACAGAGGTAAGGACAACTGGGGGCATCGTGGTTCCAACCCTCTCTGGGCCCTGAACCCTCAGGAAGCTGGCCACAGTGACCACTCCTCTCCCCCGACCACCTCACCTGCAAACCCACGGCTCACAGGGCATGGAGACTGGGGCTCCCCAGAGGGGCTGGGGAAGGGACCCCAGGGAACATGAAACAAACAGGGAACAGAGACACCCCCAAACTCTCACTCCCCAGAGTTCAGCACACACGCCACCCAGCACCCACAGCCACACGTGAGAGCTGCGTGCAGGGTCCACACCGGTGATGCTGGGAGAGGACAGAGACTCCGCCCACCCAAGGGAGTCTGGGGAGACATTTATTTTACTTTTACCTTTATTTTATTATTATTTTTTTACCTTCCCAAGAAATGGAGTCTCGCTATGTTGCTCAGGCTGGAGTACAATGGCTATTCAAAGGGACAATCCCACTACTCCTCAGCATGCGAGTTTTCATCTGTTCGGTTTCCAGCCTGGGCAGATTCCCCCCTCCTTAGACAACCTGGTGGTCCCCCACTCCCAGGTGCTTTTACTTTTGAGACAGGGTCTCGCTCTGTCACCCAGGCTGAAGTGCAGTGGCATGATCATGGCTCACTGCAACCTCGATCTCCCAAGCTCAAGCGATCTTCCCACCTCAGCCTCCTCAGGAGCTGAGACTACAGGCGAATACCATCACACCAAGCTGATTTTTATATTTTTCATAGAGACAAGGTTTTACTCAGGCTGGTCTCAACCTTAAATGATCCTTCCACTTCAGCCCCCCAAAGTCCTGGAACTACAGGCAAAAGCCACCACACCTGGCTTGTTTAATTTTTAATGCAAGAACAAGGAGGCTTTTCACAGAGAGTGGCTGCAGGTCAGGAAGAGAGGAGCCACAGGACTGGCCCCAGCATAAGTCAGCTCATCAGGCCTCCTGGGAGGGCATGTGGTCAATGTCTCCTCCTGGCCTCGGACCCACAAGGTCTATCCTGTTTCTTGTTTTTGTTTTGTTTTGTTTTTGAGACGGAGTCTCGCTCTGTCGCCCAGGCTGGAGTGCACTGGCTCGATCTCGGCTCGCTGCAAGCTCCGCCTCCCGGGTTCACGCCATTCTCCTGCCTCAGCCTCTCGAGTAGCTAGGACTACAGGCGCCCGCCACCTCGCCCGGCTAATTTCTTGTATTTTCAGTAGAGACGGGATTTCACTGTGTTAGCCAGGATGGTCTCAATCTCCTGACCTCATGACCCGCCTGCCTCAGCCTCCCAAAGTGCTGGGATGACAGGCGTGAGCCACTGTGCCTGGCCACACGAGGTCTGTACTGTTACACAGGAACCCCCTGGACCAGGGTCTTTGCAAGCTGCAGACCACATGGACGCTGGAAAACAAGGCAAAGGGAGAAGGAAGGAGGATACAGCTTTGACTGAAAGCTGGAGAGGGGCCTAGGAGGGAAAACTAGCAAAGCAGCCACTTAAGCCACAACCTACGAAAGGCCTCGTTAAAAGAAGTCTGCAGCTTTGGCTGGTCACAGTGGCTGAC